TCGAAGGGGTCGCGGATGCAAATATGTTTGAGCAGGAGTTCTTAAACTCTCTTACCTTCTCCGGTATCCCTCCGCACAGGATTGTTCTGAAGGTTGGAACACCTATCATCATGATTAAAACCTGAACAGCGACGCAGGACTTTGCAACAGAACGCGGCTTCGGGTTGTGTCACTGCGCGAGAGAAGCATTGAGGCCAGCATTATGTCCGGGCCGTTCAAGGGTAAGAAGGTGTTCATTCCTCGGATCGTCTTCTATAGTGAGGACGATGACAAAGAGTTCCCGTTCAAACTCAAGCGTAAGCAGTTCCCCGTGGTTCCAGCGTTTGCCATGACTATCAACAAGGCCCAAGGACAATCGATCCACCACGTGGGTATATACCTGGAATCACCGGTCTTCGCGCATGGGCAGCTTTATGTGGCGTTGTCGAGAGTGACTTCGAGGAAGGCGATCAAGATTGCTGTAGATCCAGAGGCCATCGATGAGGACGGGAACGTACACGCCAACAATATTGTGTACAGGGAGATCTTTGGAACGCGGACTTGGAAGGGCACGTAATACGTATAATACATTTAGCTTTGATTTTGAAATGTTCTTTAATCCGCCACAGCGCAGCGGAGGCGGCCAACCTTCTCTACACCAACCAACCATGCCCTAGCATCCGCGGAGCGGGCGCCCAGAGCGCTAGTTTCCCGCCTCTTAACCTTGCAGCGTGTCTGTCCGTCCGTCTGTCAATAAGTCCGTCCGGTTCCTTTCTTGCTGCTTTTACCTACTTTTTCGCATGGCTACACTCGGCCTGTCTAATACAGTTTCGTCCCATCTTACCGACCGCGCCTATCTTTCTGACTCGACCTAACTATGCCAAAATTACAAATACATCCAAAAGCGTGACGCAATTAACTCGCGCCCTGATTGGGCAATATTTTTTGACTCACTTTTCATTCAAAGCACAAAATTGGATTTTTGAGCGACGGCGCGAAGAGGACAAGGTGCGCTGGCTGTATAATAGCAGCAGGGTAGTTTTAGATGTATATGAATGTATGCACGGGCGTGGGGCTCCTTGCCCTACTTTATATTCAAGAGAGACCTCTCAGGATAGAGTCTGAGGCTTGCCCCGAGACTCCAAAGTGGTATAGCAGTTGGTAGCGATAGCAATCAGGTTGGGGTGGTTGTGACTGGGAGCGTCTTCCACCATGCACGCGCCTAGGGGTCCTAGACCCACCGCGAGTGTCCACGCTCCAAAAGCGAGTGGCGCGTGCTGCCAAATGGCGAAACCGAAGTTTCAGCCACATGCGGAAGCGTCGTTACAGTCTCGCAATACAGAGGTGCTCTTAAAGTGTGAGCTCCCACATCAAAACACACTTTGCGAGAGCACTTCTGGCGGGACGGAAAGGAATGCAGCAGTCGGTCTCACAAGAGCAAGGAGCCCAAGACCAAGTGCAAGGACAGCTCAAGAACAAGAGATCAAGACAATAAAAAGCACTTTAAGAGCATGAGTGAGCCCCGCGCCTGTACAATTAGATAGCATAGCGTCATAATAGACAGTTTTAGAGCATTTTCAGAACTGTGTGAGCCCCGTGAGGGGCTGGGTCGTTTTCGGACACCCTGCGCATACTACTGACATGACCTGAAGGGCTGGACGGTATCGAACAGACCTGGGCAACCACTCAACAGGGATGAGGCAACAGCTTTGACGTACCCAAGAGGCAACAGCGCGATGCGGCGTCTGGAATTCCATGTACAGCTGCTTGGTCCACAGCGGTGCAAGGTAATTTGGACCCGTCGGACCGTGAGCTGAGGGCTGTAACACGTCGGCCAAGGGGAGAGCTTGTGGCTCTGTACTCAACAGCATTTGACTTGTTGTCGTGTGCCAGATTCTTTACGTCGTACGTGACACTGTGGATCACGACAAGCAACATGAAATACGACAGCCGCCATATATACAGCCAGACGCACGTGATGCTGTACGCAACAGCATTAACTTCTTGTCAGGTGTCAGATCCTTCACATCAT